AAAAAAAAGAACAGAACTTTATGTTCTAAGCATTGAACGCAAACTAGCTGTAACAAACTAAGTCCATCTAAAACTGCTATACAAAACCACAGCTCGCAGATCCAAGAAAGATAACAAGTAAATTGTTACATCAATCAAACTAATCTACCATTAAAAAAAAAGAATACCATCATCTAATGTAATATTTATAGACAGAATCGGAAAGATAAACGCGAAACAAAAACTTCAATATACAATTGCAGTATTCAAGTCCATAAATTACATCCCATATATCTCAAAGTTACTGAAATAGAAGAACGGTAACTCGTACAACACCCTCATATGTAACTAAAATCAATGTTAGGGTGAAATTCCACCCACGAAGCCCAGACCCCAAATTCATAACATGAGCATAGTTGCCCCAAAACTCAAAAACCTCCATGCAAATGACCACTGACCAAAATCATCACCAATTAATTACTGCAACACACTTTATCCAATAACACCTCTACTGAAAATCAGCAACCAAACATACTACTTCAAGCGGATAACCACTGGAAAAATCTCAAATTCGCTTAATTCCGTAAGTCCCTAGTTAGCAGAAGTCGTAATCTGAGAAACCCAAACGAATATTAAGTAAAAATTTCACCTTTTTCTCCTCAGATAACGGCGCCAGAGGTTGCTTCTTCCCGGCAGCAGCAGCGGGGGATATCGAGCTAAAGTGACGCCGCTTCTTGTCAGCCTCACCTGTACTAGCCATTCTAATCACACCCCACAAAACCCTAGAATCACTACACCTATTAAAAATTGAAAAGCAGAGAATTCATGGCCAATCTACAAAAGGCCCGGCTAATTCAACACATAAACATGCACAGAAACATGCATGTACATCAAAAAAATCCAATTTTAGCAACAACCCAACAAAAAAAAAAAAAAAAAAAAAAAAAACAATTATAAAAACCGATTGATAGAAAAGGTCGACATTCCTCCTACTGGGGAAGAAACCCTAGGTCTCAAAAACTGAAAAAAAAAAATAAATAAATAAATAAAACTCAATTATAATTATACAGAGCTCTTCTCATGGCCTTCGTCCAAATTTTCGCCCCTTTTACTACTTCTAGTCTGTAAAAATAAAATCAATCTCCCACACACAGGAGCCCTTAAACCAAACCATGTGTCCTGAGGAAAGAGAAAGTGAAAATTGGATTAATATGATTGTGGGGGCAGATTAGGAAATTGATAAACTGCTTGGGGGCAAATGCGTAATTGGATTGCTTCGATTGTGTGTGCGTCCGGCTGCTCTGTATAGACGATGTCGCTGACGTGGCATGCTTGCACACCTGTGTAGGGATTAGCGTTGACCAAGTACACCTGTAAATGTAAAATTGTTTTAATTTTTTTTCCTTTTTGAAAAAAAAAAATATATATATATATATATAGATAGTGTTTCTATATTTTCGAAATAAAATTGATATATTGTTAAAATTGTGCCACCTAACCTGAAAAATACAAATGTAAATGCGTCTGTTATTATTTTTTAATGCAAAAATATATTTATGGAATAAAAATTATACTTTTATTAATATAAAAATTCGATTTTTTATGACTTCTTAAATTTGGAGAATGAAATTGGTAGATATTTTTGAATTGGTGAAATCTCTCTTCATTAAATGATTAACATAATTTTTTTAGGGAAAATGATAATTTTCCTATCTTTCTAAAAGAGATCCAAATTACACTAAACTACAGACAATTTCAAAATTGCCTAAAAGACATAATTTTTTTTTTTTTTATAAACATAGGTTCTTCTCAGTAGAATACAACAAAACCTCCAATAAACATTAATAAAAAAATCCAGAAAATCTACGAGTCATATATCCATTGTAAAACTAATTACAATAAACTATTCAAATTTGGGGGTATCAGATATGACACATAACATAAGCACGATATGATCGTTTTGCTATGAAATAATCGGATGACTCAATTTATGGAGTCATTCATATTTATCTACAAATGGTGTATTGACATGTGTCCATAAAGGAGTCATCCGATGACTCCATAGAATTTCTGTAAAATATATACAACTATATAATAAGTACAAAATGGAAATTTTGTTTTTGTTTATATTTAAACTCGTTTTTATTAAATAAACTGATAGCTCTCCTTCCCTAACTCAAACCTATCAACACATTCAATTTTTTATATTTATTAACCTTCTCTTTAAGTCGTCTATTCTCTTAACACATCTTAAACCCGCCGCAGTTGAGAAGCCGCGTGACCCTCAGTAGGGCCATCGCATAGGCCCAAGCTGTCACCAACGTGGGCAAGTGGGCCAGCCCACACGATTGCTCTACATTTGGATGGGCAATGGGCCATGAACATCTCATCTAGTCTAATGCAGAATGTCCAAAAAAATAAATGAGATGCATAAATCAAAAATTTTGTCATGGTAGTGAGCTGTTCACAAAAACGTAAATCCCGTAAATTAAAAACTTGATATTAGTATAGTATGAAGCTCGGAGTCCATTCGAAGTTGCAGCCACAAACAGGAAGTAGTTTCATTCTACATTTTCCAACTCCAATTGCCAACTTCAAATCCCTCCCTATATATTAACTCAAAACGTGTTGAGCCTAGATGGCAGATTCTCACGCTTTGAATGCTGACATGACAAAAATTTATGCTTCGTGATGTTTTTATATCATTTTTGCTCTGGAATTAGATTTAGTATTAGACATAAATAACTTTACATATATATTCATTAACTCAACACAATATGGGTATCAATACCTAGTTTCGTTTAATGGCAAATATATACTCAGTCAAAACTCACCCACTAACTATACACTCCCAATAAGTAAACAAAAACCTACAAACGGGACACACAATCCAAGCCAAACCTGTAAAGAAAGAACAGAGCACCATAATCACTTGCCCCAAAACTCGAAAGAACATATAACGAATCAATTGAACAATCACTACAAAAACGAAAATAAGAAGAAACAACGAACCAAATTCACTCGTCCTTGTTCACGATCTCTAGCCAAACCTGTAAATAAATAAAGAACAAAACAACATAATCACTGGCCCGAAAACTCAAAAGAACATAACGAATCAATTCAATCACTACAAAAAACGAAATAAGAAAAAACAAACGAACCAAATTCACTCGATCTTGTTCACGATCTTGTGCCTCGTTTTCTGCCCGACCTCCACCAGCAAAGTAAGAAGCGCTTCACACACCTGAGAGGCATCTGCTTCCGTAGGGTTGTCATTGATGGATGAATAGACCATCCACGCGTGATCCAGTTTTCGGGCGGGCCGGACCACAACCGAGCCCGGGACCTCCGCATCCCGACAAGTAACGAGCCCGTCACTTTTCTCGCCGTATCTTATCTGGAGCAGCTGAGCACAAGCGGCCATGGCTGCACCAAGCGGGATCACGACAGGTAAAGTGGTCGGGGGCTGTTCAGAAGAGAATGTGGGGAGCTCAGCGTGGGCCACGCGGGACAGCGTGGCAAGGACAGCTGGCGAGATGCCGGCCTCGGTGTGGAAGGAGACGAGCGGGAGCTCCTTCGGGAGGCGGTGCTTCCGAAGGAAATCCTTCCTTCTGTCGTACGTCAGGTCCTCCAGGGCCTGCATGTCACCCTTCAGAATAGATGACGGTATTAGGGTTCGTTTAGGAAAAAGGTCCGACAAACCTAGTTTAAGGATAATAATCACGGAAAACAAAATGTTTGGGGGAATTAAAGATAAATACGCGCTTTCTGGTAAACCTTAGGGGCTTTTATTGTAAGTATGACTGACTTTAATCTCAGGAAAAAAAAAAGCGCTATCTTGCAAAACTACTAAGAGTGTTTGGTAAGCACTATAAGTTAGCTTATAACTTATTTGGTTAACTTATAAACTTTATGTATTCAAATAACTTTTGTTTGGTAGGACGAGCTTTTTTAAAAAGATCGAACTTATCTCATAAGCTTCTTTAGGTAGCTTTTCAAATAAACCCGTTCAAGTTTTTTATCAGCTAGTTTTACCAAACACGTTTATCATATCGGCTAGCTTTTCAGCTTTAGGTCATAAGATATCAGCTATAAGCTTGAAATTCACTAATAAGATAGTTTTACCAAACATAGTCTTATACTCCCTTCAGTCTCTATTTTATGAATTGCACGCTTGGAAGGAGATAACTTGGTACGAATATACAAACCTCAAAGTATGTTTGTAACATTTAATCATGTTTCATTAAGTTAAAAGGAAGTCAAGAAATGGGGTTTGTAGCATTCAGGCTTAACCTCAAGGGTCATATTAATAATGTAATTGTTTATCCCCAATACTTATGTACATGTCAGGAAAGTAGCAGTGTTCTTAAAATTCAAGCAATCACATAGCATCAGAATTTCCATTTGAAACTTACAGCAGCTTTTAGCTCTTTTAACAACTAACGTGGAATATTTCTAGGCATATGAATAATGAAGTATTTGACGAGGCATAATAAAAAAGGAAGGTAAAGCTACCTTTATCACTTTACAGATGAGAATCTCCATAAGCTTACGGATGTTGACATAATCACCAAGCTGGCCTTCTCTCAGTATATCTGAAGCAATCGGACTCCCACCGTACGGGCTCTGTGTTAATGCTAGGCCCGCTACCTTATCTTTTAAATCATTCCAATACATAGACAGACAGGCGGCAGAATCCACACCCCCTTTACTGTGGCCAAGCAGCAAAACTCGTTTTTTGGAGCCCCAATATAATTCCTCAATGTAGTCCTTTATCTCTTTAGCATTTTTTTCCACTGAAGCCTAAACCGTAACTTCATCATGAAACTGATGAACATACTGAAATATAGCACAACACGTTTTTAATAGATCATACCTCACTGTGAATTTTTGCAATATGACAGGTCAGCCCCAGCTTTGAAAAATATGTTTTTGTGTTCACAAAGTAAAGAGGTCCGTGGTTGCTGAAAAGACCTAAATACAGCAAACTTAAAACCATCAGCCAATTCTTAACAATGGCATTAAAACAATCTTAGTGAAAAGGAATATGAGAAATAAACGCATTGTTACCTGGGACTAACAAATAAACCATCGTGTTTGGCAACGCATGCAAACCATGCCTGGCACAGAAAGGAAAACAATTCCATTACAGCCTAGAACAAAACACAATCTAGCCAGATAAAAGTGAACCCAAAAAAAAAAAAAA